GAGCGCGAACAAATCCAAGTAATGTATCTCGAAGAAAATAAAAATAAGTCCTTAACAAAGTTTATACATTAGAAAATTCTGCTTGAAATTACCTCAGGAATCTTCAGTTTAAAAATATTTCAACATTTTTTGGGATACTTTGTAAATTCGACTCGAGTTCGATTTGCTTTTATAAAAAGTTTTTCTTTTTTTTCGTTTTTCCTTGATGTATTATTTTTTAAGAGTGTTTTAATAATTTTTCCATTAATTAAATAATGAACTAACTAACGAACTAAATAAATTAAAAAAAGAAAGAAAGAATTTTCACTAGAAATTCACTAGAAAGGGAAAATTCACTAGGAAGGAAAGAAAGAATGATCGAATAGGAAAATAGTGATCGATTTTAAATTGAAAATCGATAATAATCTATTTTGGTTGGCAAATAGATAATAGGATAAGATAAATATATTTAGATGTCTGGTTACATTGAATATTCGTGTTTCTCATGCGTGTTAAAGAGAATTTAATAAAAAAAAGGGAAAATTGATATTTTTTCGCCTTTTACGATACGGATATGTAAATTTTCTATACCTACAAATTTTCTAAATGGATTACGTGTGATAAAATTAATATTGGCAAAGTCGTGTATTAATACACAAAATTACACGACTTGTATACGGTGTGAACGTGATTATAGAAAGTGGATAATAATGAAATTTACAATATTTGAATAAATGTTCCATTATAATAGATCCCCTGAGATATATGATTATTTACATTTGATCATATCTTACGTAATTTCATTAAATATTGAAATTGAAATGTTGTTCGATTGGTCGTTACGCTTATTCTTTATTTGAGGTTATTAATCGTATATATATTTTATAATTCGAGAATAATCAAAAAATAACAAAAGTTAAGAAACACGTAAATTTAACATTTATTTAAAACATTTGTAAATTTCTTTGTTTCTTTTATTTTTTACTCGGTATTTGTGCAAATATATTGTTATTTTTTTGATGATATAGTTCTTAACCTATTCATCTCGGACAAAATGATAAAACATAAGAAAATTTGTAAATCATAGATTTGTTTTTTAATTTTTGTGTAGGAACTGTAGCAATGTTGAAATTACTTTTAAAAATAACTTGTCGAATTTTATCTTTCAAATTAATAAGAATCATTAAACTCAAATAAAAAAATCGAGTAATATAAGATTTACGATTTATTTTGATATCCAATTTTAATTTAAAATCCAATTAAGGAATTATCAATAAATTACTTCACAATTTAAAAGAGAAAGTTTACTGTAAATTTCAATGTTTAAAAAAAATTCTATATTAAATTATCGATAATTACAATAAAGTTCTTCTCTCTAATTTTAATCATCTTGAAATACACTCTTAAGTTTGAACATTTTGAAATATTTTTACGAAATATTCACAAAAAATTACTATACGATAGTTCTACAATGAATTTTGCTTATAAGAATTATATATGTAATTGTAACATTATATGTTCAGTGTCGAATGTCAACGCCTTACGACGGCTGGACAATGAACTAATCAAAATCTGACTATATTTTGTTTACAGTATCTATAAATAAGAATCAATCTTTCTGGTGAAAATTCTGGTGCAAATTTCATGTGACGATCTGTATTATTGTTTAGATTAATATTATTAAACTTAATGTAATCTAATTTCAAACAATAATAATATAAAAAATTAAAAAATATCATACATAATTCATTCAATATATTTTACTTATAACTCGACCTAAAAGCTAATCTAATTTAACCTAACATAAACTTAATTTCAACAATTGTGTCACACATATTAAAAATATCATGGTAATAATATCATTGAACATATCTTTACAACTCAAAAGTTAATTAACCTAATTTAATTTAACGTAACCTTTAATTTTATATAAATGTTATCACAAACAGAAAAATATATAAAGTATCGAATATATTTTTGCTTATAACCTAATCTAATTCGAAAAAACTTAATCTAACATAGTTCACAAGATCATAGAAATCGATCATAGAAGAATGCTTTCGTAAATAATTATTCCTCTCCAAAAAAATTATCAAATTTATAAAATCAAAATATCTTTAAAAAAAAATGTAATTAAAAAAAAATTCCACTATGTAATACCAAAGAATAAAATTCGGTACAGAGGAAACGGATGATATCATCAATTATATATAGCAATTTCTCGTACTGTGTTAAAGTTTGCCGCGTATTCGTGCATTGTGCAAACGATTCACCTTGCTTTACGAGCCGCATTGTTCCCGAAACGTCGAGTGTAACCCAGAAAAAAGTGACGCATACTCTTTATACGGCCGTCTAAACGCGTTTATCCTATTCGTAGTTCATGATACACATTCAGTCGGGAATCGTGGCTAACTTTAGCAAGAATGAACAAACGGAAAAGAGAAGAAAAAAATCCCGATAGTACACTCGTTCAATGATCGTTATGGTATTATTTAATATTCAATAAGAATTGTTTAATGCTCGATTGATTTCCATGGTTCTTCTGCAACAGTCCTTCGTCGATTACATTCATTTTTCCTGTTTTTTTTTCTTCTTTCTTTAATGCTACGCATTTTAACGAGAAAACGAGAAGTAAAGATTTAAATTGAATTGAGACGTGATAAAGATTCGATGAGAGAGATGCGATTGGAATAATTGTTTTTTTTTTTTTTTCTTTCGTAAAGAATGTGTATGGAGTGGCTTGTTGCACTTTTTTTTAATAAACTGACTGCAATTACGTTACGGAAGATAACGGATCGTGAAAATGCACTTAATAAAAGTGTTGGTCTTGTTGCTTTTTTCAAATAAAGGCTTTGTGATTATTATTACGAAAAAATATTGAATGAGAATATTATTTAGAGATATCTTTTTTAATGAATTTTTTTTCTTTAATAATAATTCTTTTTCTTTAATAAAAATATTTTTAACAATTTTCTTTCTTTAGTAATAATTTATTTTTCAATTGTGGTCAATTATTCATTTTATCGAAAATATACCCATTTTTTCTACATATTTTGATGCAATAAGAAACAGTTCAAAATTTTTCAAAAATTATATTTTTTAATAAAAATTATGAAACTGATAAATTCAAATCTCCCGCGTTACATCATTTTTTCTGAAAGATTAGAGTTATTCAAAGAAGAGAATTTGATAAAAAATTCGATAAAAACTAAAATTCATCGATTATTTTATCATTTTATCGAAAATAACACCCATACTTTTTTCAATATTTTATAGCAAGTCGAGAAACAATTCAAAAAATTTTCAAAAATTTTATTTTTCAATAAAGATTACAAAACTGATAAATTCAAATTTCCCGCGTTATCTTTATCTGGAAGGATATTCGACGAGAATTGCGCAAAATATCGTTTAGTTATTATCTTTTACGAGAACATTTACATTTATTATACTCCATTGTTATATTCTATACCATACCGTTATCCCTCTTATGTCACTTCATTTTCCGTGACCGTTTCTATAGAAACCTTATTTCATATATTTTTTCCCCTCTGTATTGCTGTGTAAAACAAAAATTTCCCCCACCCCCACCCCCACTCCTCTCCACGCGTAGGCGTTCACGTGACCTGGAATTAAATAAAACATCGGTTTTTCAACCGAGGACAAGAGGAGGCGAAACCGCGAAGGCGTTACAGGAGGAAATTGAAACTGCAACCGGTATTAACGTAGCCTCGTGTTATATCGAGAATAGACAATATCGAAACGGACTTCCTTAACCAAAGCCTCGATACAGCCGCATCGAAACATGCAACTTTAATAAAAATAACGCGATATCCTCGATTCGTGACATATTCTTTTATTACGTGTCTCGAAAACTAGTTCAATCGAGCGGAAATAGAAAATGGGAATATAATAATGGGTGAAAGATTTTTTTTTTTTTTTTCATCTTACGATCTTGTTATTTTTCGTATTTACTTATTTCTGGAGCAAAAGTTTGAAAAGTTTCGTTCTAATTGTAACACGCAAAACTGTATTTTCGAATTTAGACTGTGAATTTAACGCGAAATTGGTTATGATATTGTGGAAAGTAATGAAAAAAATTCTATCGTTTTTTTGTAATATGATATTTCATGTATCAATTATTCAGCCTCATGGTAATCTCATTTATCAAACATTTTATAAACATTTATAACATTTTATAAAAATGTTATAAATTATATAATTTAAAATATATAATAATATTATATTGATGTTATTGCATCATTTTATCATTTCTCTTTGTGTTAGAAACACAAATATTATGATATTTAAAAATATCATTCCAAATTCTGTAAAAAAATTAAGCTAGAAAAAAAATGCACTCTTTTTTGTTTTCAGTATTTTTAATATTATACTTACTAATCAAATAATCACAAAAGAAAAATCGATTGTTTATCGTTAAGTCCAAAAGTCTTCCTAATCGAAATTTATTAATTCTCCATACTTTCTATCTTTTCGAAATGAATGATGCAACAAAAGCATAAGAATTGAATTATATGATCGAACATCAAGAGATCGAGACTTCTTATCGAAAGTTACAAGATCAAAAACACATAAGAAAGAAAAAAAAAATTCTTTCATCACTTCTCGCACGATCCACTTGTAATTCTAGAACATTCTGTAAGATAAGATTTCTATCTTTGAAAAGTAATTTCTTCTTTCACAACTTTCTTTTTCCTACTTTTCATTTCTTTCTTTCTTTGTTTCTTTCTTTCTTTTCTTCTTTTTTGTAATATCTATGGCATACTCTATGCGATCAGTGTAACGGTCGTTTGATCTATTTTCAAGAGATCGATACAAGCGTCCCTTTCAACCATGCTCTCGACACGCAAGAGGCAATAATAATGGCGCGGGTCACAATAGTGAAGGGCTCCGAACGACTTGTACGCGCAAAAAACAGTGGTTGCGTGTTATTTAAGAGGTCTTTAGATAACCGGTTAAAATCGATCGACAGTTGGTAACGATACACCACGTTTATTTTACAGCATTTCGAAAATGGCACGACAATCAAATTAAAGAACTTACGTTTCGAGGCGTCCGGCTCGTATCACTGTTTGGTTACGATGACGACTCCTATTTATACCGAACACTCGGAAAGCGTTCCAATGAAAGTTATAGGTAAGTCGTATTTCTATATTATATTTAATATGGAAAAGTTTCATGATGGTAAGTAGTTGGTCATACCATCGGTAGATAATATCACCTTGAAAATTTAATTGTGAAGAATCGTTTATTGCAGATTTTCGAAAATTGAATCATTATAATTATTGTGAAAATTGAATAGACAATATGTTTTGATAATTTTTATTCAATTATGTTGAATGAAAATTTGACCATCAATATATATTAAATTTATTTATATTTTATTTATATTTATATTTATTATATTTTAACCTAATACATTGTATTATTATCTTATTATTTTTATTACAAAATTGTTTAAATGGCACAAGTTTTTTACTTGGACGGATAAAAAATTCGTTTGAAAAGAAATTAAAGAATTTTGTCTCAATTATAAAAAATTATAAATAATAATAAAAATTATTATTAGAAATATCAAGTAAGTTACTAAAATTATTCTTTTAAAATGATATTGCTTATGGGATAACCTAATATTTTGTCTGAATAGATTGAGTCTCGTTTACTGGAAGACACCTGTCGAACGATTCTATTAACATGTTTCAATATTGATAGTTTCTATTAAGCATGATGTGGTGACAACGATACACTGTAATATAAAACGTTTTCTATATTGAAAAATTTTATATTTTAAATTATAATAAGAAATTTTATATTCTATTAATTTTTTTACAGAACGAAAATTTATTCTTTGCAAAAAAGAAGAAAAACGCATTGCAATACAAAATTTTGCGATAAATTGGAATTTAAATGCATTGTTAAAAATTTCCTTTGTTGGAATAAACTTTTATTCAATCAATTTGCTGCGACTTATTAACTTTGTGCTATGGATTTATGCAAAATTTATCTATTCTATTTTTTCTCCAAATTATTGAAATCATTGAAATTTTCCAGATCTCAAAAGATAACACGCTGAAACTTGAAAGGTTAAGGATCCAAAAATATCTGGCTTTATGTATTATTTGCCTTCCTTTTTCTTCCTACACGTAACGACGTCATAGACATGCAGATATCATCTTAGTTGACGTGCATTATCTCATTATTTATTTTTCTTTGACAAATAATCTAATCTATTCCAGGTCAAGATAATAAACATTACATGCATGAAATGGATAGTGAACAATTTTTTATTATGCAACATATAGAATGTTGATATATTCATGGAACAAGTCGGTTTATTTATTAAATTATATGCAATTGAACACTATACTAGATACTATACTGTATACTATACATATAACTCTATCTTTGTCGTATTATCCTATATTTTCCTTCATCTAACGCGAGCTTATAAATTGCTTATAATTTGATAAATAAGTTTCAATTGACATTTTTGCATATAAACTTTTATGTTTGTATCAACTTTTGTATTCGTTTTAATTATAATCTTTAAAATTTTAATATTTCATCTTCCAAACATGTTCCATAAATATATCACAAGCTAGTAGATATATAAATGATTGAGTATGTAATAATAACATTTTCGACTAAATCATTGAAAATACTAGTTTACTCGTATAATTAAGAAATAATTATTAATAAGAATATCAATTAATCGATAAAACTCATTACGATAAACAAAAGGTATGTGATGTATGTGTATATATAACCAAGATAAAGACAGTTGACAAAGACAGTTGACTTTTTTTATTCTATGTTGGAAAATTACCTATTTCATATATACTTTTTACGCAAGGACAAAGGAAAATGTTACATAAAGTTATAGAACTTTACACAACAATTTTGTTCTTATTTTTATAATGTAAAGAATACGCCACGGCAATTTGTCGTCAAAAAACTGGTACACCTTTCATATTCAAATTAAAACTCGATGTAAGTTATTAAAGAAGATACAGAAGTTTAGAAAATTCCAATATCCTTCATTTTTATTTTATACATAACTCAATATTATAGTGTACATCTTCTTGAAAATACAACATAAATAAAAAATTATTATGAAATAACTTTGAAACGATTTAAAAAATACGTAAGAATATCATATTAAAAATGGAAATTCACTTACTTACTCAGGATTCTACTGGTAAAAGATATTATGCTTTCTTTGTTTTAATGGTGCAATAAGTATAAATTTTCCAGCAAGTGTGCAATATGCAAATTGTGAAATTAATTCAATCTTATATATTCTTTAAAGTTGAAAGAAAAATTTAAAGATGCAATTTGAATCCATTTTCCAAATAATTTTCTTCTAATTCATTTCCAACCAATTTTTGTTTTTTTTGTTCACTTATTACTTGTCTTATACAAAAACTGTTCAGAAAACAGGTGAAAACAATTTATTTAATAGTTTCTTTCTGATAAAGATTTTTTATATATATAAGATTAATAAAATTGTAAAATAAAAGTGTATAAAATATAAAAATTATCTTTAATGAAAATATTTAATCTCAATAATTTCATTACGTTTCGTTTGAAAATGAACAGAATTTTAAAAATCATATAATAAAAGATTCACTGAAAAGAACATTTTTTTATCAGTTATTCTTAATTCTTAATATAAATGTAAAAAAATTAGAATATTGAAATTATACATTGAATTAGTTTATTTAGATTAGGTTAGGCTAGAATATAAAGAATTAAAATGTTGAAATTAATCTATAATATTCTATATTATAAACTTTCAGAATTTTTTAGATTTTTTTATAATAAATGATAATGTAATTTAGATAAAAAATATAATAAGATGAAATTTTGTCAAGTAATTGTCATTGACAATTAAAAAA